AGGTCATTAGAAAGCTTACGGGAGTGGCCGGATGTGTGCAGTCCAGGCCAAGGTCTTCGGTCGTTTTCGGCCACGATTTTTGGGCCTTAAAAAACAGCTTCCATATGTCTTCGTGCGTCGTGCCAAAGAACCGCTGCAGGGTCCGAGGACTGGCCGGGTCGAATTCCCACATATATAAAGTACGGCTTTGGCAGGGGAGAATCCGGCGAAAGAGCATCACCTGGATCACACTAGCAAGACTGATGTTCTTGTTTATCATACCCTTGACGCGATTCTGCAGTGTCTTCACCTCATCGGACGACGCCCAATCCATGCCCTTGTTGAGCCATGATGCAAGCCACATTGGAGGACCGGACTTGAACTCGGGAGCGGCGGCCCATGTGGTGTCGCCGGGTTTCGTGATATAGAACCACCCCTGCTGCCATCCCTTGACGGTCTCCATGAAGGTCCCCTTGGACCAGGTGACATTGGGAAGTTTGCTCATCATGGTGCCGCCGCACTCCACGTGTTGACCTTCAACCACCTTCGGCTTCACATTGAAGACCTTGAGCCATAGGCCGAAGTGGGGGGATGCGGAGGAATGCCTCGTACATGACGATAAACACCGAAATGGTGAGGAAGGAATTTGGGGCTAGATCACGAAAATCTAGCCCGTAGTAAAACATGAGACCGCGGGCGAAAGGATGGAGGGGAAACCCTACTCTGCGAAGGAAATGGGGGATGAACACTACCCTCCCATTAGGCTCTGGGGTGGGAATGATCTACTTTTTGGCAGGGAGCCGGGGGCTATGTCCGCGGCCAACTACCCAGCTTCCTGGAGCTCCTTGATGTTCTCCTCTGTAACAGAGGAAGCCATCCACTTGCTCTGCGCTCCAGATCTGGACATGGCTAGAGTGTTTGGTGGCGATGGAAAAGATTGGAACTTGGGCGTTGGAGCTTGAAGGGCAAATGGGTTGAGGAGGAAGAAGGCGTGGGGTAAAAAGACGGATCCTTATCTTCTTATAAAGGCAGTGGATATCAAGCATCCCCTCATAGGCCTTAAATATCGCCTATTCCCAAGAGGACGTGTGAACGTCACGGTTGGATTACCCAAACCCATATTGATGAGAATCCCGTGATAAGGGGACATGATCTCTGCTTTGACAAGACGTATCAATGACCGTGCCTCGAAACACGAAGCGGGGGCTATAAAACAGTTCAGAATAATAACAAGGGCAGAACATAATGTCTCACCAAAAGAAAAGTTACTCGTAGACGTGACTTATTTTGTTTTAAGTATTGTTGCCTTACAGCTTAGGGTTGTAAGTGTTAAGCAGGGTCGGATATATAGCTTTTATGTGCAGAAGACTGGTTTGGAGTATTCGGGGAAGGAACCTGCCTTGCAATGCCGAAGACAATCTGCGCGCCGGATACATCATCATTGAAGCCCGGTTCAGGGGCTACGAGGGAGTCCTGGACTAAGGGGTCCTCGGGCGTCCGAGCTATGTGATATGGGCCGGACTAATAGGCCGTGAAGATACGAGATTGAAGACATTCCCCCGTGTCCGGATGGGACTCTCCTTTGCGTGGATGGCAAGCTTGGCGTTTCGATCATGCATCTTCCTCTCTCTGTAAACCGACTCTATATAAACCGGAGGGTTTAGTCCATAGGGGCAATCATAATCATACAAGCTAGACATCTAGAGTTTAGCCATTACGATCTTGAGGTAGATCAACTCTCGTAACCCCTATACTCATCAAAGTCAATCAAGCAGGAAGTAGGGTATTACCTCCATCAAGAGGGCCCGAACCTGGGTAAACATCGTCTCCCCTGCCTCCTGTTACCTTCGATCCTCAGACGCACAGTTCGGGACCCCCTACCCGAGATCTGCCGGTTTTGACACCGACAGCTATTCTTCCCCTCTAGCTGAAGCATATCCCTCAAGGGCATCCGGCAGTCTGACAAGCGGGCTGCCGGACATGGGGAAGACACGTCAGTGGAGGGGCGAAGGGGGCAGGATCTTCAATTATGAACGTTTTTAGTGGCATTTTTAGGTGGTGGCAGATGGAAATTTCTGTCTCTTTTTGCTGCAATTTTTTTCTTTTCGAAAACTGTCATGGGTCTTTAAAGAATTGCCACACGTCTTCGAAGAAATTGGCAGCAAAAATGTTCGCAAAATGTCATCTCTCCTTGTAACGTTGGCTGGCTATTGGGGGTCCATACAGAATCTATTACTCCCCGTACTAAATCGGGACACTATTACGAGTACTACGGGGGGTTTACAGGCAGCTTAGCGATGATTGGCGGAGGATTGATTAAGGGACGCGGGCCCACTCGTGAAAATCAGGGGGGCAATTAGAAGAGCGCACAACCCCCAGCCCGTACAAACATGTAAATAAAGTCCGTACGTTTAGCATTATTGACACTATTACTAATCGCTACCCTAGCCCGCACGTATTCCGGCATTTTGACCAGATTCGACCGTTCCGGGGGCTTCTGCCGCTCCTGAAACTCCGCCGCCCGCATGCTCCCCGGCACCCAGGAAGCGGCCATGCCGACGACCCCTGAGGGCGGCCCCGCCGCCGCGCCGCGCGTGGAGCTGGAGCTCCCGCTCGGTGCGGCGCCGTTCGACCTGGAGGCGGCCGTGTGCAGCCACGGGCTGTTCATGATGGCGCCCAACCGCTGGGACCCGGCCTCCCGCGCGCTCCTCCGCCCGCTCCGCCTCGCCTCCGACCGCTCCAAGTCCCTGCTCGCCCGCGTCTCCCGCCACCCCGCGCGCCCCTCCCACGCCCTCCTCGTCTCCGTCCTCGGCGCCGACGCCCTCTCCCCGCTCGACCAGGACTGCATCCTCGTAAGTAGGCGCTTTCAATGGAGTACAGAGAAGAAACGAAGTGATTGATTCTAGGGTTTAACTGGCAGGAGCAAGTGCGGCGGATGCTGCGGCTGTCGGAGGAGGACAGCAGGGTGGTGGCGGAGTTCCAGGCGATGCACGCCGCCGCGAGGGAGGCGGGGTTCGGCCGCATCTTCCGCTCCCCCAAGCTGTTCGAGGACATGGTCAAGTGCATCCTCCTCTGCAATTGCCAGTACGTCTCAGTCTTGATGCTTTCCTCTGTATGTGCCAATTTTGGGACGTGGTGTTCTCGTGGTCATAATAAGCATTCGAAAACAAAATGCAGCTGCGCAATTGAGCATCAGAATTCAAAGTGCACAGTTTTGCAGTATCTCTAAAAAAAACTGCATTTGCAAAATATCTTATATTGCCACGCTATTGACCTGCAGATGGACAAGAACATTGTCAATGTGCGCTGTGCGAGCTTCAGTTGGAGCTGAGAAGTTCATCTGGTACTGAAGAACTTAAGTTAAGGACACCTCCAATCAGGGAGCTTAAAAGGAAGCGCAGCAAGAATCAGAATGTCCGTGTCAAACTAGAAACAAAATTTACCGAGTTGGAGTGCTTGGAGGATCATCAACAACAACAAAGCCTTTCAAGAGTAGAAATTGTGGAGGATGCAAGAGTAGCAACTGATACTAGCAATGTCATAACACATTTGGAAACGGATGAAAATTTGTCTAGCTTGCCCCCGGCTGCGCCTGAAACAGGCAGTGCATGTCAGTCCTTTGATTCTTCAGAGCTCAGCTTGGAAGGTTGTGTTGGAGATTTCCCTACTCCAGAAGAATTGGCGAATCTTGATGAAGACTTTTTAGCAAAGCGCTGTGGCCTTGGATATCGAGCTGAGCGGATTGTGTTGCTTGCACGCAGCATTGTGGAAGGAAAGGTATGTCCACAGAATCTTGAAGAAATGCAGAAATTGTCTTTACCAGCTTCAAAGGAGCTGTCTACTATCCTGCCTACCTACGAAAGACTGAATGACGAGTTATCTACTATCTCTGGATTTGGCCCTTTCACTCGTGCCAATGTGCTCGTGTGCATGGGATTTTTCCACATGATCCCAGCTGATACCGAGACAATTAGGCATTTAAAGCAGGTATTTTCCCCTCTAAATCCTTGATTTAGTGTTCATGGGGTTTCACTGTTTCAATATGTCATTTATGTATGGAATTTCTTGCAGTGTCATAAAATTGCAAGCACCATCAAATCTGTTCATATGGAATTGGATAAAATCTACGGAGAGTATGCTCCATTTCAGTTCTTAGCATATTGGTATGCATTTTTTTGACACTGGTATTTAGTATATCATCCTTTTGACATGCTGACACTGTTCCTTGATGTTCTGATTTGATACAGGTTCGAGCTATGGGGCTTCTATGACAAGCAATTTGGGAAGATCACTGAGATGGGTCCGTCCACATATAGGCTATTTACTGCAAGTGCTTTAAAGAAGCAACATCGGTTAGTTAGGAAATAGAGCCTTTCTTTCGTTTGTGAAAGGGCCCTGCCAAAATCAACTTACAACATAGAAGAATTTTGGGATTGTTGTAGTTGCTGGCTGTTCTAGTCAACAAAGCCTTAGTGTTCTAGTAAGCAGAAAATATATTTTCCCCTTCATGAATGCATCTCATATTTTAGGGGAACAGAGTCCTGCAAGTTTTTAGTTTGTAGCGAGCTAATGTGTTATCAGCTACGGACTTCAATTAATTTAGTGGTCAACTTTAAACATCTTGCATGAATACTAAAGAGGGCAATTTGTTGAAATGATTGATGAGATAAATAACATTTGAGCAACAAAACCGAAAAGGAGCTATCATTAACAACAGATTGATGAAAGCAAGAAAAGAAAGAGATATGAACCCTTGTAAGTAATCTGTAATACTTTCTTGGCATCAGGAAGTACTCCCTCTGTCCCACAATGTAAGATGTTTTTGCAAGCTACGGAGGGAGTATCATATTGGCATACATTGTGAGGCACAGTACATCGATGAGATGATTTCTGATATTCTACATGGTTTGTGTTCTGAACATTACTCAAGGAATAAGCTCTCCTACTGATTATGGAAGAACTTATGCATTAAGATTATGGAAAAACTGATCTACATTCTTGCGGTGAACATCATTACAACTTCACTGGGCTTCGGAACTTCCAATCCTTCTTTGGAACAGAATGGATCCAATCAGTACAGCAAGTCCGGTTATTGCAATTGTGAGGAGCAGTTGCTTGTGTTTCAAACCAAAAGCCGGGCGTACTTGCTTGTGACGACCACCCTCTTCTTTTTCCAGCATGGATCTGTCACTAGAGTTTGAGTTATATCAGAATGCGAGCTCAAATTGAATTAGCTGTGACGATAGAAATACACTTCTGTTGTCACAGCTAATAGATTTAAATCATAGGCTGAGGCACTGTATGGAAGGATTTTAATCTAAAAACTGCAACTGGAGATGCTAAGCAGCACTGTTCTAACTGAAACATATAGCCGGCTTATCTTTGTCTAAAACCTGCAACTGAAAATGCTAAGCAGCGTTGTTCTAACTGAAAATGCATCAATATAAGGTTCCATGCTTTTACCTTGAGGATTCTGCAGCAGCATTTGTTTTTGAATGGAGTAGGAGCTCGTGTCCAATCCATTCGCGAAGTCTGATGTCCTTGTTGCAAGGTTGACAATATTTTGTTCGATTTCCACATACATCCTGTATATAGCATAACTCATATAGTTAGACAGAGATGGACCATATATATGTGGCTTAATGTTTCTAGGAAAAGAATGTTGTCCGGTTTTCAGAGTAATAACTTAACATGATGAGTACACTCATACCTGATGCTCAAAAATGTCATCCGCGGGTAGTTCAAACTTGCAATATTGGCACGCAAGCATCCTTTGTGGGCACTGTAAGCGTTTATGAAGATCCCACAGCTCATGCTCCACAGTTTGTTCGCAGCGTGGGCAATTCACCTGTATCCGTAAATAAGTATCTGATTAGTGGTGTTACGATTAGTAATACCGGAAGTACACAAATCCAGTAAGATGTACTCCCTCCGTTCGGAATTACTTGTCGCAGAAATGGATGTATCTAGACATATTTTAGTTCTACATACATCCATTTCCGAGACAAGTAATTCCGAACGGAGGGAGTATATCTGTTGCCATCTTTTTAATCTATCCAGTGGTTATATGAATGAATGCTTTCCACACAAGCATAAGACACTGACATGATGATCAAATCACCGAGTCTTTTTGCTGGCACGCAGGTTATTTGGTTACCGTAGTGCTGCGGTTATATTATGTCAGAACGATCTTATCTGTAATGTGGGTTTATGTGATGAATTTATGCAAGATATTGGGTTGAGCAGCATCACAGGTCATGAGAAGAACACTGTGAGGAGAATGAAAATGTGTGCATACATCAAAATCAAACGAATACATTCTTGATACGATTAGAATTCTGGAACGTACCGGAGCATGGTTATCGTCGTAGTGCCTATCCATGTGCTTCCTTGGGACCATATCTCCACAATGCTCACATTTCACATGAAGGTTGCGAGCACAGTGTGCAGAATGCAGCGTGATGTTCGGAGACGGAATCTCTCGGTTACTGAAGAAATTTGCAGAGAACTATGGTCAGTAATCCACAAGCATAAGACATGCCCCCAAGCACTATGTATGTAAGCAGTGCGTGCGATGCAACTACTTACTGATGAATTGCTACGCAAAGAGGGGGGATAAGGCTACTGACTGATGAACTACTGTACTAAAAATATTGCCGGACGGAAAGAGGAAAGCAGTACTACTACTGTTTGGCAACTACTAGTAAGTGACAGACTAGCGACGGCGCCGCCAGAGGCCGGAAAGGACGGTTACCAGTGCGCGCAGGTGGAGGTGGCGACGGCGGGATCGGCGGAGTCGGCGGCGACGGCCATGGCTTGCGAGTCCTGAGGGATCACCGCTGCAACCCCGCGCCGAGATCCGAGTCGCCGGCCGAATTGGAACCTCGCCGAATCAGGGGGTCCTCGTTGGGGATGGAGGCGAGAAGAGCAGAGGGATTGGAGGAGTTATCGAGGGGGCTCGTGGTGAGGTGAGGTGGAGTGACCGTGTCGGAGTAGGGGGCTGTGGAGATTCGACTTCAGCGCGGCGACGGGAGCGGTAGTTTCACCGGCGTACCGGTCGGCCAGGCCCACCTGTCTGCCCTGATAGATGCTCCGCCATCCAACCGTGCTCGTATCCATTTGATAACAATTTTGAACAAAAATTTACCGTTTGAACTAGTGTGAGCGCTTGAGAAAAAAGAATGCAGCATTTGAAGAAAAAAGAATAAAACAATATTGATCCCGTCATTGTGACTTGAAAAAACAAGTGCCTTCCCCCCGAAAAGAAAAGAGTGTAGCATTTGAAGAAGAAAAGATTGAAACAATAGTGATTCCGCAATTGTGACTTGAAAAAAAATAGTGCCTTCTGCTATTGGCTAAAGGCCTTCCGCCAGTGTGAGCACTTTAAAAAAAAAGAGTGCAGCACTTGAAGAAAAAAAAAGTGAAACAATAGTGCTTTCGTCAAATGCTAGAAGCCTTTCGCCATACAGCCAAAAAAACTTAGCAGCAGCCTTCCGCCATCCAGATAGAGAGAGGAGACATGGTGGCTTTTAATATGTCATGCGGATGTCCCGGCTCCCGCAAAGGGCTCGTGTTTGCTTTCGGTTTTGCGGGAAAACGGACAGTCAAACCAATGCGTGGATCAATGGGGTACAACGCTGGATGGCAAAATGCGTCCGGACCGATTGCGGGCGGTTTGAGGGTCCGTGTTAAAGATGCCCTACAACAGTACCTATTTGACGCCTATAGGATCAAATACAGTTGAATTGGCCTTATTAGGCCCTGTACAATGACAGGTGCTTAGACAGGTGCCAGAGAAAAAAAAACCTGGTTTTTTTCAAGATTGGACTGCACGGGTGCTTAGAAAGGGGGGAGAAGCAAACTTTTGCTTCCGGTGCCTGCCGGTGCTTGGAGGAAACAACTACCCCCGAAAAGTCATGGGTGCTTCACCTAGTGCCTCAATCGGCAAAAAAAAACAACTCCATGTGAGCAGTAGAGATTCTTCACGTCAGCAGCTGACCAGCAGGCATTCTTCACTCCAGGACATCATAGTAGCTCGGATTGGAATCTTTTATGTGTCCAACGACTCCTCCCCCGCGACTCTTCCCCAACGCCGGCTGCATCCTCGAGCAACGCCTAGACCCCCGCCTGAAGGACTCCCGCGGCTGCGCCGCCGGCGAAGCAGCGCTGGGCAGCTTCAGGAAGAAGCAGCGCCATGGGAGCAGCGGAGGAAGGGGCGGCACTATGCTTCGGAATCGGCGCTGTTACGGAGCTATCGCCGGCGGGATGAGGCTTGCCTGCTCCCCCGAAATACTCCCATCCGTGCTCCCTCGCGTTCAACGTCAGAGATTAACTCTAGTTACTCTTGATTCTCAAAAAAAAAACCGTCAGAGATTAACTGTTGGATGGCCCATGTCCAAGTCTTCTCTTGCCTACCATGGTCTTCTCCCTTCTCGAGAGAAAAACGAATCGCGACCAAAATCTGGCGAACACCACGACGCGCCTCGCGGCGGTGCAGCGGCTGCGCCCCTCTTTGAAGGCAGCGTCGCAGATGGCCATGTCGAGTCTGCCCCGGCGGCCACGACGGGCACTTCGATCCATCGATGAGGCTCACCACACCAGAGCTAGCAAGCCGCATAAGTCTGCACATCCGAGTCACTGCTACCCCCTGCTGCCTGCACTACACCACGGAGCCCGCCAGCCATCGCGTATGTGTGTCAATGTATCATCCTCTACTCTTCTCAGTCACCATCAACAACTTCAGCGGGAGTTCACTGTCCGTACTTGCCATTGTGCCAATCGATCCAATCATGAATTGATTAAGCTTTCTCATCTCAAGTCTCACCGGTGTAGCGAGGAAACACGTCGGCAGTCGGCACCAAGGCTATGTTTATGGGTGTTGTGAGTTGTGACGGCGTCGGCGAGGAGACCGAGGAGGTACCGTGTCACGCCAGTGCAATGGCGTCCATGGGCATGAGTTACTCGCTACCTCGACCGCCTTGGCAATACCCCTGCCAGCGAGCGATGCCGGGATTACTTTGGTATCTTGCTACCAAACTTACGGCAAGGTTTACATCGGGTCTGGTACACAGCATGGCATACATAATAGATCCTATGGCTGAAGCATAGGGGATGACACTCATCTCTTCTTTATCTTTTGCCGTGGTCAGTGACTGAGCCGAGCTCAATCTCACACCTTGTAACATAGGCAAGAACCCCTTCTTGGACTGATCCATTTTGAACCTCTTCAAAATCTTATCAAGGTATGTGCTTTGTGAAAGACCTATGAGGCGTCTCGATCTATCTCTATAGATCTTGATGCCTAATATATAAGCAGCTTCTCCAAGGTCCTTCATTGAAAAACACTTATTCAAGTAGGCCTTAATGCTGTCCAGAAATTCTATATTATTTCCCATCAAGAGTATGTCATCTACATATAATATGAGAAATGCTACAGAGCTCCCACTCACTTTCTTGTAAACGCAGGCTTCTCCATAAGTCTGCATAAACCCAAACGCTTTGATCATCTCATCAAAGCGAATGTTCCAACTCCGAGATGCTTGCACCAGTCCATAAATGGATCGCTGGAGCTTGCATACTTTGTTAGCGTTCCGAGGATCGACAAAACCTTCCAGCTGTATCATATACAACTCTTCCTTAAGATGTCCGTTAAGGAATGCCGTTTTGACGTCCATCTGCCATATCTCATAATCATAGTATGCGGCAATTGCTAACATGATTCGGACGGACTTTAGCTTCGCTACGGGAGAGAAAGTCTCGTCGTAGTCAATCCCTTGAACTTGTCGATAACCCTTAGCGACAAGTCGAGCCTTATAGATGGTAACATTTCCATCCGCGTCCGTCTTCTTCTTAAAGATCCATTTGTTTTCTATCGCTCGCCGATCATCGGGCAAGCCTGTCAAAGTCCATACTTTGTTTTCATACATGGATTCTATCTCGGATTTCATGGCTTCAAGCCATTTGTTGGAATCCGGGCCCGCCATCGCTTCTTCATAGTTCGAAGGTTCATTGTTGTCTAACAACATGATTTCCAGGACAGAGTTGCCGTACCACTCTGGTGCGGAACGTGTCCTTGTGGACCTACGAAGTTCAGCAGTAACTCGATCCGAAGTACCTTGATCATCATCAATGTTTTCCTCTTCAGTTGGTGTTGGCATCACAGGAACGGTTTCCTGCGCTACGCCACTTTCCCGTTCGAGAGGTAGTACTTCATCGAGTTCTACTTTCCTCCCACTTACTTCTTTCGAGAGAAACTCTTTTTCCAGAAAGCATCCGTTCTTGGCAACAAAGATCTTGCCTTCGGATCTTAAGTAGAAGGTATACCCGACAGTTTCCTTAGGGTATCCTATGAATACTCATTTTTCCGACTTGAGTTCGAGCTTTTCAGGTTGAAGTTTCTTGACATAAGCATCGCATCCCCAAACTTTTAGAAACGACAGCTTAGGTTTCTTTCCAAACCATAATTCATACGGTGTCGTCTCAACGGATTTAGACGGTGCCCTATTTAAAGTGAATGTAGCTGTCTCTAGAGCGTATCCCCAAAATGATAGCGGTAAATCGGTAAGAGACATCATAGACCGCACCATATCCAATAGGGTGCGATTACGACATTCGGACACACCGTTTCGCTGAGGTGTTCCAGGAGGCGTGAGCTGTGAAACGATTCCACATTTCCTTAAGTGTGTACCAAAATCGTGACTTAAGTATTCTCCTCCACGATCTGATCGTAAGAATTTTATCTTTCGGTCACGTTGATTCTCTACCTCATTCTGAAATTCCTTGAACTTTTCAAAGGTTTCAGACTTGTGTTTCATTAAGTAGACATACCCATATCTACTCAAGTCATCAGTGAGAGTGAGAACATAACGATATCCTCCGCGAGCCTCAACGCTCATTGGACCGCACACATCGGTATGTATGATTTCCAACAAGTTGGTTGCTCGCTCCATTGTTCCGGGGAACGGAGTCTTGGTCATTTTGCCCAAGAGGCATGGTTCGCACGTGTCAAACGATTCATAATCAAGAGACTCTAAAAGTCCATCGGCATGGAGCTTCTTCATGCGCTTAACACCAATGTGACCAAGGCGGCAGTGCCACAAGTATGTGGGACTATCGTTATCAACTTTAAATCTTTTGGCATCTACACTATGAACATGTGTAATATTACGCTCGAGATTCATTAAGAATAAACCATTGACCATCGGAGCATGACCATAAAACATATCTCTCATATAAATCGAACAACCATTATTCTCAGACTTAAATGAGTAGCCATCTCGTATCAAACGAGATCCAGATACAATGTTCATGCTCAAACTTGGCACTAAATAACAATTATTAAGGTTCAAAACTAATCCCGTAGGTAAATGTAGAGGCAGCGTGCCGACGGCGATCACATCGACTCTGGAACCATTCCCGACGCGCATCGTCACCTCGTCCTTCGCCAGTCTCCGTTTATTCCGCAGCTCCTGCTGTGAGTTACAAATATGAGCAACGGCACCGGTATCAAATACCCAGGAGTTACTACGAGTTCTGGTAAGGTACACATCAATCACATGTATATCAAATATACCTTTGGTGTTGCCGGCCTTCTTATCCGCTAAGTATTTGGGGCAGTTCCGCTTCCAGTGACCCTTCCTCTTGCAATAAAAGCACTCAGTCTCAGGCTTGGGTCCATTCTTTGACTTCTTCCCGGTAACTGGCTTACCAGGCGCGGCAACATCTTTGCCGTCCTTCTTGAAGTTCTTCTTACCCTTGCCCTTCTTGAACTTAGTGGTCTTATTGACCATCAACACTTGATGTTCTTTCTTGAT